CCTCCCCTGGGCTCCCCCTTCCCTGTCATCAGCTCTTCCATGGGCTCCCCTGGCCTGCCCCCTCCAGCTCCCCCAGGATTCTCCGGGCCTGTCAGCAGTCCCCAGGTGAGAGGTTGTGACCCACATTCTGCCTCTCCACTTGCATTTCCTTGTGACCCTAGATCCTTGTGTGAACTTCCCCATGACCCACTGACCTCCAGACCTCTAATTCTGGCAGGCCTGTTGTCCCTGTGAGATCCCCTGAGGTGACTGATCTTGCAGTGCATGTGTCCACCCCAACCCCAAAAGGAACCCCAATATTCCTGATGTCCCTTTCACCTGTCAGTGACTTTCTGCCCTTTTGGTCCCACCTGCCCTTCTGAGATACATACCTTTCAGGGCCACTGTGTTGCACTATCTCAAGGGACACTGTGTGTCTAGTCTCTGGGTTGTGCTCCAAGGCTGGCCCTCCCCGCAGACTGCAGTGTAACTGCTCTCCGGGATGTGCAATGCAGGGCCCTGCCGAGGTGTTAGGGCATGATTTCCATCACCTCTGATTTTCTTTCCCAGTGAGTCTCCCCATGACCTCCCTATTTCCCCTATCCCAGATTAACTCAACAGTGTCGCTCCCTGGGGGTGGGTCTGGCCCCCCTGAAGATGTGAAGCCACCAGTCTTAGGGGTCCGGGGCCTGCACTGTCCACCCCCTCCAGGTGGCCCTGGGGCTGGCAAACGGCTATGTGCAATCTGCGGGGACCGAAGCTCAGGTATGGGGCTCAGAGGACCAGCAGACAGGAAGAGAGAGAGAGAGATATTATGTCTGCCACTGACCATCCCCTGTGGGATTCCCAGGGCCTCATGGGGTTTCTTTGGAGCAAGTAGCTGGGGGAGGCCCAGTGAGAGCTAAAGAACCTGAAGCTCAGACGGGATGGGGGGCGGTAGAGGGAAGGGTGGACTGGACCACCTCACGTCCTTGTTTCCCAGCTCTGTGTGTGGCAAACACAGAGCAGACTTGGCAAGAGACTTAATGGTGAGCGGTTTGCATGCAGCCTTGCTATTGCCATTCCCCTCCCCCTGTAGGCAAACACTATGGCGTTTACAGTTGCGAGGGCTGCAAAGGCTTCTTCAAGCGCACCATTCGCAAGGACCTGACCTACTCGTGCCGGGACAACAAGGACTGCACAGTGGACAAGCGCCAGCGGAACCGCTGTCAGTACTGCCGCTATCAGAAGTGCTTGGCCACTGGTATGAAGAGGGAAGGTAAGGGCCTGCCCACCCAGGCTTCCCAGTCTACCCTCTGGGAGAGGAGGGAGGAGGGAGGGGGAAGAGGGAAGGTTTAGGGAAGACGGGACTGTTTTCTCTCTCCTCCAGAGGGCGATATTTGATCTCTCTCTCCCTCATCAGCTCTTCTCCCGGAAACCCTCATCTGATCCCTTGAGTTTCCTTCCTAATGGTTCTGCCTCTGGCCTGTCCCTGTGACCCCTGCCTAGCCTGGTGTGAGGGTAGGCTCTTTCCTTACCCGTGATGGGCTCTCTGTGTCCCTCTCTAACCTGAATATCCCTTCCTCTCTTTGACCCAGTGCCCTCTCTCTGGTCTCTCCTCCAAACTCTGGGATTCCACTCTCTTAAGCTACAGAGTTTACCGAAGACCTCAGGGCACCTTCCCTTTTTTAATCTTACCTTCTTCAGTCTGACTCTGGAATTCTGAGAGACACCCTGTAGAGAGTATCTTGATCAAATCTCATTTTCGAGATGAGCCTGAGGCCTAGCTTCTCCAAGGCCATGCAATAAATGAGTGGTAGAGCTGCGATCAGAACTCACGTCTCTGAAGACCCAGGCCGGTGCTCCTTATACTGCCTCTGTGTTGAGTCAGAAGAGCACAGACTTTGCAGGCAGGCACTCTTGGATTCAGTTGTATGACTTACCATGTACTGTGTGAACTTGGGCATGCTATTTAACTTCTCTAGGCCGAAATTCTTCATCTTTAAAAATGGAGACAAGAGCCCCTGGCCGGTGTTTCTCGGTGGTTAGAACATTGGCCTGCACTCCGAAGGGTCCACTGGTTCCATTCCCCGTCAAGGGCATGTACCTGTGTTGCAGGTTGGATCCCCACCCTAGATGGGGCGGGGCACGTGTGATCTAAGGAGTTAGGGAGGCAACTGATCAGTGTTTCTCTCTCCTCCCCCTCCCCCTCCCCCCTTTCCACCTCCCTTCCTCCCTCTCCCCCTCCCTTCCTCCCTCTCTCTCAAAATCAATGGAAAAAATATCCTTGGGTGAGGATTAACAAAAAAAACAAAAAAAGGAAAAGAGAAAAGGGAAAAAAAATGGAGACAAGAACTCACAGGGTTGTTATAATAGAGTGAATGTTAAAATGTGCTTGGCCCTCATTTAAATGTTAGCTTTCTCCCTAATTCCTTTATCCTCTCCTTCCCTTCTCCTTCTTGGCTTATGTGCCCTTTTACAACCCCTGCTTCCAGACTGTCCCTAGTCTGTTATTTGTAGTGACTTCCCCAGTTCCTATAAATATCTCCTCAGGGCCATCAGATGCTGATAAGGCCCTAAGGAAATTTCAGAACCTCCTCACGGCAGGCTGCTGACTTTCCACTTTTTGTCCTCCCTCCCCCCACCAGCGGTACAGGAGGAGCGTCAACGGGGGAAGGACAAGGACGGGGATGGGGAGGGGGCTGGGGGAGCCCCCGAGGAGATGCCTGTGGACAGGATCCTGGAGGCAGAGCTTGCTGTGGAGCAGAAGAGTGACCAGGGCGTTGAGGGTCCTGGGGGAACCGGGGGTAGCGGCAGCAGCGTGAGTGATGGGGTCAATCCATTCTCCCTGATGGGGGTTGGGGAAGTGGGAGCCTAGGTCTGTCCTGCCTCCACCTCCCCTCCGTTCACCTCACAACCCTCCTAACACTGTCTGGGACTGGAAGTGCTGCCAAACAAGGTCTCTTAAATATCTGAGGTGGGTGTGATAGTGTCCTCTGTCCCACCCCCAGAACAACCCACTGGTTGGCAGAACCACAGCAAGTCCCAAATAAATGTTTTCACAAATGCCAGAAGAAAAGCCTGACTTATAGGGGTCAGTTTAGATGGGGCTTGAAGAGATATACCACGTTGTAGGAGGGGGTATCAAAGTCTCTTACAAGGGGGCTCCCAGTGTACTTCTAAACCTCCCATAACTCTTACCCCCCACCCCCTGCAGCCAAACGACCCCGTGACTAACATCTGTCAGGCAGCTGACAAACAGCTATTCACGCTTGTTGAGTGGGCGAAGAGGATCCCACACTTTTCCTCCTTGCCTCTGGATGACCAGGTCATATTGCTACGGGCAGGTCAGTGACCTTGGATCCCTTTGACCTCTTGACATTTGACCCCTTTTGACATGACCTTCAGTGACCCCAGTGCACACTTGCATACTCAGGGAGCCAAGCTCATTGACCTCGCCACCTTTTCTTCTCTTCCCCTGGTGTGCTTTGAATCCCATGGCCTGATCTCTGGCTCCTGGCCCTTGTTGCTCCCCGCCCAGGCTGGAATGAGCTCCTCATTGCCTCCTTCTCCCATCGATCCATTGATGTCCGAGATGGCATCCTCCTCGCCACAGGTCTTCACGTGCACCGCAACTCAGCCCATTCTGCAGGCGTGGGAGCCATCTTTGATCGGTCAGTGGCCCGCCGCTGGGCTGGCCTATAGGTGGAGGGGGTGGGGCTATAGGCTGGTCCGTGTCCAAGGCTGGCTGAGCTGTGACCTTTGAGTGACCTGCAGGTCCCTCTCCAGGGTGCTGACAGAGCTAGTGTCCAAAATGCGTGACATGAGGATGGACAAGACAGAGCTTGGCTGCCTGAGGGCAATCATTCTGTTCAATCCAGGTAAGAGGAGGTCATCCCATCTCTCAAGACCAAAGCAACCTTGGAGCCTCCTCTTCTCCGGAGACTCCTAAGTTACCCAGCTATCCCCTCAGTAAGACCCTCTGCCCGGAAATCTCCCAGATAACTAAGAACATCCCATATCCACGATGCATTCCCCTTCTGACCCCTCCCACAAACCCCATGTGCCCTGCTCCCTGACCAGGCATCTGGAGAAGGGCAAGTAGATGGGGCCCGGAAGGGAACAGCTATTCACGTGGGCCACATCTCCCCGTTTGTGCTGATGTGATTGGCCTGCCTCCTCCTCCTTCCTCTCTTCCCTGCTGTTCCAGACGCCAAGGGCCTCTCCAACCCCAGTGAGGTGGAGGTCCTGCGGGAGAAAGTGTACGCATCACTGGAGACCTATTGCAAACAGAAGTACCCTGAGCAGCAGGGACGGTAAGAAGGAGTTGTGGGGGCGAGGGATTGTGGGGACTGAGGATCCCATGGGGTGGAGGTTGGGGGGCCACGGGTGTGTTCAGGGCCCATGCGATTGCAGCTCTCACTCCCTTTCTCTCGCCCCCCCCCCAGGTTTGCCAAGCTGCTGCTACGTCTTCCTGCTCTCAGATCCATTGGCCTTAAGTGTCTAGAGCACCTGTTTTTCTTCAAGCTCATCGGTGACACCCCCATCGACACCTTCCTCATGGAGATGCTCGAGGCGCCCCACCAGCTGGCTTGAGCCCAGACACAGACGTGGTGCTTCCCGCACTTGAGGAGTGCACATCCGAGGGGGACGCCAAGCCTTGGGGCAGGGTGGGGAGGGCCATGTGCCTGGAGTCTTGGTGGGGTGAGGACTAGGGAGCAGGACTGAGACCTCCAGGGGATCCATCAACCCTCCAAGGGGTTTGCTTGATATCCCAAGTCAGAGGGGACCCCAGGCCCTATGAGAGCTGGACCTCTTCCTTCAGTGGCCTCGGGCCTCTGAATTGGTCTGGGTCTGCCATGACTTGGGGTGAGTTCCCACCCCGCCTGGAATGATCTTCCCCAGCACAAAGCACTGGCCTTCTCCCAGGGCCTTGCTTCCTTTTCATCTTGCCTCACTTAGCTCCCTGTCTGGAGAGTGGATATGGGAACTCTCCCAGAGATGGATATTGGGGGGCAGGCCCCCCAAAGTGATGGACATGGGAGTAGGGCTCTGACAGGCCTTCCTCTAACCAAGCCTGGCAGCTCGGGGCTACTCTGTCACTGCCCCCTGTCCGGAGTCACCTCTCGCACGTCACCTCCTGCAGTCAGACTGAGAAATAAGGTGGTGGTGGTGAAGGGGTGGGTAGAGATGTAGGAACCCATCTGCTATTTTTAATTTCCTCTGAGGATAGAGATTTACAGTTAGACTCAAAGAAGTACTGTACTTCCCCAGGTTGACTAAGATGCCAGTGGTGGAGGTGGAATGTGGGAAAGGCAGGGCCCCAAGACGGTGGCCCTGGGGCTCTTGAAGCCCTGGCCCTCTCAACCCCTTGCCCATCTCTTCCCGTCTGCCCTGGGCCAGGCGGGCGTTGAGGGGAGGTGGCTGGCCTGCAGAGATGGGGTGCCGGGGCTGCATGATTTTTGCCCTGCAGCTCTTCTCTCTGGGGTTTCTTTCCCTTTCACTCACGTATAAAATCGCTTTCAAATTAAAATCGCTGTTTTCTGGACTGAGGTGACTGTTGGCGTGGACAGCGCGGCATCTCGCTGGGTGTGGGGGATCCGGTCGGTTAGGACCTCCAGACACGCTCCCTTGACACTAACGGTGCTGAGGTTCCCTGGGGCCGGGAGGCGGCGCAAGGTGGGGGACACAAGGCCCCTTTCACTCACGTATAAAATCGCTTTCAAATTAAAATCGCTGTTTTCTGGACTGAGGTGACTGTTGGCGTGGACAGCGCGGCATCTCGCTGGGTGTGGGGGATCCGGTCGGTTAGGACCTCCAGACACGCTCCCTTGACACTAACGGTGCTGAGGTTCCCTGGGGCCGGGAGGCGGCGCAAGGTGGGGGACACAAGGCGCCCTTTGTCGGGAGGGGGGAAGA